CACCGGGCAATGGTTGCTGCTCTCGGTCATGTCCTGCAGGTTAGAGTCAGAGTTTCCAAGCTCCCTAGAGCGAGCCAACCCACTCTCCAAAACTTCCCTGTACGTGATCGTCTCCTTCTTGTTGCTGCTGCCACTGCCGCTGCTGCTCTCTTTGCTTTTCTGGTCAAAAGATTTGGATACAAAAGCCGTAAGTTCTTCCATGGCTGCCCGGTGATCTTATCCACAGAGATCCACTTGTTTTCGGTCGGAGATGTGGCCGTCCTCCGCACGCTGTTTTTGCACGTAGAAGATGGGCTGTATAGGGTTAGATCACTCCTGCTGTTATTTATGCCTTTCAATTTGAGATCACACTATTTATACATGGCTACCTCAGCCCAACCCCCAGCTCTCCCTGTCTCCAGCAATTACTGACTGCTCCATAGTCGCAGGCGGACTCCTAGCAGCTATCTCCCCCACCTCAGTCCAGCAATTGGCTTTCTTTTCATTTCATCACTCTTTGGCATCTTTGCACCTTGATTTAGGGAGGCGAAGAGGCAAAAGCGAAAAAGAGGGGGAGAGAGAGAGCGAGAGGGAGAGAGAGGAATAAAAGGGAGGGGGGGGAGAGGAAAACACGAAAATAGGTATCTGCATTCTGTAAATGGGTTGCAGAAATGAAAGTCGAGGAAGACTTAATTGATTGTAAGGACATCCTGTGCGTGGCAACACTGTGAGTAAAAACGGACCTAGCTAATCAAATAACTGTGCTCCTGCAATTAAATGTATCGCTGTCAAGAGGAAAAGAAAATGAGTGTTCAATAAAAAAGGTAATGAATAAAAAGCCGGAGATGTGCATTTGTTGTAATCACTGGAAATTCTACCTGGTTTGCTATTTAGCTAATTGCGCTTAATTAAGTGGTCAAAATAATCGGCGAACCAAAAATGCTGTTTTAAAAGTGTTGCCTGCTCTGGCGGGTGGGTGGGTGGGTGCGCGGAGGGGGACGTGTGTTGCAGTTAAACAAGTCGCGAGGTGTCGCGGAGATCCGTGTCGGTGTGTTCGGAGGATTTGGAGGGGGTCGCTTGGCTGAGGGGGGGCGGGGGGGGTTATCCATGGGTAGGGGGGCTCTCCAGATGCGTGTAAACATCGCAGGATCTGTTGTCTTGTTTGCTGGTATTATGTCGTCTGAAGATACTGTTGGGGAAAATTAAAATCTAAAATGTTTTTTGGACGTAGTGCTATCCTGCTGCGTGAAGCAGAGGGGTAATTTGTTAACACGAGAGTTTGTAGACGACAAATAGAGCATTAAATCGTCTCCCCCCCCCCTTTCTTTCTTCCCCAACGAAACCCATCCTGCCGGATTTAAGATAGAACTGGCAATAATTTCCCCACCTTGTTCTTGGTAGGCTGCTGTTATTTTTGTTGTACTCCCGGAATAATTATTATTATTCTGTGCGCTTGAATAGCTGCCTGAAATTCATCATCAGATAACAGCACCGGCATTTCTAGCGTCCCTCCGCACCGTTTGATCCTCACGCGGAGCCGACTTTCCAGCTATTTATTTCTATCTCCTCTCCTCGGGCTTTAACGCGAAGGGTTATTTGGTATTTGGAGGAATTTTGTCTTCTGGTCCTTGGGCTTTTTACGTCCTTCTCGTTCCCTCGCCTCGAGTTTGAGATAATCAGAGCCCATCATCACGCCACCCTCTGCTCTGAATCGCAACCAAAGGAGGCTCCTTGCCGGAGCAAGGGGCCATTGTTTCTTTTCCGGGGGAGCGTGGGACTGCTCTGAAAATTAGCAGAACGTTAAAACACTAAAAATACGTTTAATTAATCCGAAGGTGCCCCCAGCACCAGAGTTAACACCTCCACAGGAGGAGGGGAAAAAATAATAATCGAGGAAGCAATTAATAAAGGGCTTTAAAAGGAAAAAAATCAATCTCCCCCCGTGCGAATTTAAAATGATTATCTAGGGGACAAGGACTGATCATTTGATCTCGGCACTGCGGATATCCCTGACATTTATTATATTGTTGTGTCTCGGTGGCATCCTTCCTCCAGAGTTCATTTAACAAGTGAGGGAGCCGAGGAAGCCTTACAACTTAACAAACAGGTCTTGTCATCGCAAACGCCAATCAAATCCGAGGCTCTAATGTATATCACACGGCACCACATAAATAATAAAGGCAAACGATAGACGTGGAAGTAGCGTATGGCTAAGGAAAGATCCCGGCACGACACGCTGCTTGTGCCTCCCTCCTGCAGTCTGCGTGCTAAGGCTCGGTGCCGGATTGCTGCACACGC